ACGCAATATCATTGACCAACGTAAACCAAATTTTTCAATACCTAACCTAATGTAATTGTCCTTGTCAGGTGTGAAGCGAATACCTGAATGTCGTTTAGTCAATTTATGGGTCGAAGTGGTTGCAGTATCTTTGCGAACATGGTCTTGTCTCTGTGATGACTGCTCTACCTTTTCGCATTCAATTTCTAAATTCTTACTGTTCTCAACTAATTTTTGCATGCACAAACGTCCTCTCTTATTTCTACTTCCCGAGAACGTTTCTTTTGATAATGGACATGCGCAACGTTAGAGCTATGCTTCTGGTCTTCAGATATCCATTTCTGTTCGTTCGGTAGCAGAACCTGGGAACTTTCTGTCTCGATGATTTGTCTGTACCTAGTCGGATGAATGTACTTTCCGATGGCTTCGAACACCAGCACGCTGAAAAGATCTGTAAGTTTTTGAAATTGTTTACCATTGCGATTTACCAACACATACTCGCAAGTGGGTGTAAGAAGGGGTCTGATATACGTTATATATTTTTCCAATATCTCGATGCTGCATTCGTCAAAGTACACACTATCAAACCCGTACTTTTTAGCCGTCTTGAAAATTTTCTGATCAACCATCCCTTCGTTTCTCTTTGCACTTTCAAACATTCGCAAGGTTAGATGCTGGTATGTCATAGGACGACAGCCTTTTACTTTCAGGAACATGTAAGCGGCTACGAATCGGGTGGCAAACGTGACGTCACCAGTTTTGACAGAAGAAGGACATGCCATACAGTTTTCCAACACGGATTCATAACGTTCCACGTGAAATGGAATTACAGATTGAACTTCGGAAAGAATTGCCCAACTTCTACGCGATTCGAGGGTTTCTATGTCTAAATCGGTTGTCCAATTTGATCTCATTCCCTTCGCTAAGCACTTTCGCGCCCTCTTCACATAAACCTCGGTAACGGCGAAATTTTCAAGCACCGAGCAGGGGGACGGCTAAATTTGCGAAAATCCAGTAGATCTGAAATGCTTGCAACATAAGATATTTGTCCTGATTGTCCAAGACCCCACTTTTCTTTTAGACTGTCCACGAACTTTGTTAACAGTTGTGGAGATCCCAAGGCGTAGTCGATCAAATTAGGAGAACTTTAGAATGTCTTCTTCGGCGTCGCCACTCTCGTCGCAGCAAAACTTTACGAACTTTAAAGCTCTCGTGACTGAAATGTCCGATTGTTTAGGAGACTTGCCCCTGCCACAGCTGCTTTGAAGCCACTGCGAAAACGAACGAGCGAATTCGTTATCTGTAGAGCAGCCAGGAACTGTTCTCGAAGCTTTTTCGTTAGTTCCATTCGCAGCAGACGGTGAAGTGTCGAAAAGGTCGATCGATACATTGGGCTTCTCGTCGAAATAGTAATACCAACCATGTTTTATTTTCACATGTTTACGACAACCTCTTTGACTTGCAAATCCTGGATGCTCGCAGCCCGTTACTGGACAATGATCTAACCCATCTCTGTCTTTGACCAAATGCAATCGTCTCTGTTTAGTAAACGCACCGTCCACTGATTTCCAATCTACTTTAGATTTTCTTCGTGCAAACATAAAAACTGGACAAAATGCTTAGCGATCAAATTACTTTGGTTTTTATAGTGAACACGACATGCATTAGTATGCATATGCGATGTATGAATTTTATATGTTAAATAAATAGTCCCAAGTGCAATATATTATGTGTTATTTTGCGAAATAAATGGCAAAATTAAAATAGAGGGAACAATAAAACAGAACAATAAAACGGAACAACGGAAGCTAGCAATATGTGCATAATAAATTGTTCCAGTTTGCTAACCTAGTCGAAGAATATTAATGTTCCGCTTCGCGGAACATTTTGTTCCTAAGCAAAGGAACCATGAAAAGGAACAGATTAAGTGTTCCTAATACGAGTTGTTCTCAATCAGTTCCGCTTTGCGGAACATATTAGAAACGGAACAACCAAATTGAAGTAGGAACAATTTGTTCCTTTTTTATTGCTGTTCCGTTCATAAATGGGAACACCCAACATAATTTACATGTGTTCCGAGTATGGGGTTTAAATATATGCAAAAACTATGGCGAAACAAATCGTTCTTGTCATGACGCATTAGGTAAATTTAAATGTTTTTTCCTATTGAAATGACATGCTCACACCCTAGTGCTTCTGCCAAGTCCAATTGTTATGTGCTCATAACGCTTAATCTAGCAAATTTCCCGCTATAGTGATATTCTAAAAGGAACAATTGTTAGGGATACGTTTCATCACCACCACCACCACCACCAAGAAAATTTAACTCATTTTATGATGTGATTATGATTGTAACGGATAATTATCCAGTAAGGAAATAAAAATTCCATGCAAACAATACTCGAAGTGTCTATACAGCTGGCTATTTAGTAAACTGCCACTTGTGAATTAAATCCATACTCATCGAATTTTCAAAACTTTATGTGTTGATGTGTGTCCTGGCTGGCAGCCGAGCAATCGCGCTAATCGGGTGTTTCAATTTGCACAAGGAACTATGCTATGAATAAGTAACCCTTTTAAGTTTTAATCAAGTTAAATAGCTGTATGCAGTATGGCTCATGGAGGTGTCTTTTGGGCACAAATACTATGGTCTTGAAAAACTATCACTAGGTAACACAACATTTGGTATTTTTGCACCAATCAATGTAAGTGTGTTCACCTTGCGCCTTTCAACTTGTCAGCAAGCAATGCTTCAATTTTTTCTCTTAGCTCTTTCTCCGACCAGTTTCTGTCAATTTCAACAGCATCCATAATCATACCATTTTTATGTAATTCTACTTTTTTCGCATACTTGGGCACATCTGTTTCGTTCGGAGCCACTAATAAGACAATTTCTTTCATCGTTGTGGTCACTGCACATGAATTGCAAGCTGAGGCCATTCTGGTTTGTCGGCTGGTTGACACACTTCGCTGATTCCGTCGCGTGTATGGTGAAGGCTGTCGTATTCGTCGAGCGCTGTTGCCATAGCCATAATTTTGGCTGGGGTTATATTGCCAAGCCGTCAATTGGCCAGAATTCGCAGTACTTGAGTCATGTTCAGCTTCATTTGTTTCGCTTCGAGTTTCGTTTATAGTCCGTGGTATTTGAAACCTACAGTTTACTTCTTGTTCCAATGGTGATGCGGGCATGATCATTCCAGCGCCTCGTTCAGCGCCGCTTCTCGCTTGGTCATTTGTCTTGTTCGTGTTTACAGCACCCGAATTCTGCATATCTCTAACAGAAGTCAATATTCTTCACACAAGGTTCTCAACCCCATTATCAGAATCAGGGTTCAAATTATCCATAACATTTAAAGGAAATCGAGAGGAAATCACACAAGTTTCCCAGTTTTGATTGTGGTGTGGACGATAAAATTGCAAATGTATTGGTGGGAATTTGGCAAATAGCATTCCGGTGTCACAGGAAATTTGCCCCCCCCCCCAAAAAAAAATTTGCCCCCCCCCAGGCCGGACCAAATTTCCCAGCCCCCTTTCGGAAATTTGGCCCCCCCTTAAAAAATTATAGTTTGTTTTATCTTTAAGGCCCTGTTTCACGGTGCAATTTTTCATGCAACTTGTCTCGCAATGGTGTTGCGAGACAAGTTGCACGAGTCATTGCACAGTTTAACATGCCTTGCAATGGTCAAAATCATTGCGAGACAAGTTGCATGAAGCATTGCAGAGAGTAGAAGTCTGTTCTACTTTTGGCAACAAGTGCACTAATTATTCTAAGTGTTGCAGCGTGTAACATGGCTTCGTGCAACTTGTCTCGCAATGTTTAGAGCTTGGAGAGTTCCTATTGGCTCTCCCCAGTACACGCTTTATTTTAATTAAAATTTGGTGCCAAATAGTGCCTCTCCCAAGTCCCCTTTCGTTGTGAGTTGCATGAAAATCATTGCAGCATGTAACACCTCTTGCAATGTTTTATCAAAATCTTTTTATAAACATTGCGAGACAAGTTGCATGAAAAATTGCACCGTGTAACAGGGCCTTTAGGCTCAGAAATTCTGAAGCTTGTACTAAAACAAATTTCCAGAAATTCAACCTTTATAGTTAGTTTGCATAATTTTTTTGTGTCAAAATTCTCCATTGAATTGCAATACTGATGAGAATAGGCCAAGAGCTAAAGTTTAGCATACTTTTCGCATTTGGTTTTGACCAGCTTTGTAGAACACAATGTTAATAAATAATGGCTGTATCATAAAAGCTATGGAAACGGAACGTCATTCAAACCTTTGTGCTTTTGTGTGCATGCGCGGAATGTTTTTGTCAGCCATGAAGCATGCAGTCTACTTTCATTTTTAAGGAATGCTTCTGTAATGCATCCCAACCATGTGAGCGATTATATATACTGTGTATATGTAAGTAAAATGCATAGGAAAAGGTTCATTTGATTTTGTTTTTAGAACAAACGTTTCCACTTAAAAGCCTATATTACCGCTAATTACTCCCTGTTATTTATTAGACGCGTGCATATTAACATATTCGCCAACGCATGATGTCATGTTTGCTAAAGTGCAGTTGTTCTTCCGACTAATTTTATACTATGTGACTGAATTTAAAATATCTTAGAAATTCCTATCTCTAAAAATCGTTTCGTGCTCTTAGCTTAAAGCTAAGCCATCATGCATTAACGTTGTCCTCTACAGATACCCATGTGTGATGTGTCTGGCATGGCTGCACTAGCACATTATTATTATTATGCTTTCCTTCAAACTTTTAGCTCTGGCCACAATGAAGAATTTCAACACAAATAAATTATGCAAACTAACTATAAATACTGACAAACACTTTTAGGATCTTGGTTTTAGAAGAAGCTTCATGATTTCCGAGCTTATAGCGATAACTATGTTTTATAGCGATAAAGTAAACTATATTTCCTAGGAAATTTGGCCATGGGGGGGCCAATTTTTGGGAGGCCCAAATTTCCTGGGACACCAGCCCCCCTGTTTCAATTTCACCCTTCGTTATCACTTCCCCCAGCACAAAACGTGTTCCCCCCCCCCTTCTGTAGAATTCTGATCAAAATATTTTATCTCCCTTCTTGAAATAAACACACACGAAACTTGATTTATAAAAATGTGATATACTTGATGTAATACATGATGGACTTGATATAAAAATATGCAATGTAACTTGATATAAAACACGAACGACTTGACATAAGACACAAACAACTTGATTGTAAAATAACGACACTTGACATAAACCATGAACGACTTGATATAAGTAATATATACTTGATATTTTGTCACGTTTGGCATAGCATAACTTATTGTAGTTGAGATCAAAACCATGTAATATATTTAAAACATAAGCATTACAAACTACGTACGATCAATCTGGTAAGTTCATTGGTGAAGTAATTTTCCAAAAATACATTGTGTAAGTAGAGAAAATCAAAGTTAAAGTTTATGTAAATCGAGGGAAATCTCTATCACACCACATAAAGAGATGACACTCTTATGTTGTTATGATTTCTCTTTGACTTTGTGTTTTCTTCAAGTCATAAATTATTGAGTTTTTGAAGTCTCTGAATCTTGTAAAAGCCAATTTACACAGTTAAATTTTAAATTTGTGTTTATAAAAATGCATATGCACAGTATACAGGAATTAAAATAAATATTGTACAAGTTCATATTAAACTACATCTGGTGGTTCCTTACAAACGTCTGCTTGATCCTTATAAACTACATCTGGTGGTTCCTTGCAAACATTTGGCACGTGGCATTTTCTTCGCGTGGGGCCCCAAACTTTTGCCTTCTCTATAGACTATAACCTGGAAATTTACCTCGTTTTAAGCATAAATCGTAGCGACGTTGCGTTCGCTTCGCATATAGCAAATCTAAAGTCTGAGACCAAATTAGAGACAAGAGTAGTATATATTAACTTGGTATTTGAATTTTTTATTTATTACTATTATATCCTTGTGGCATACAGCTATTTCAATCAAGGTTGTCCCCGAGCAAAGCGGAAAAGTCGAATACGAGCGCGGAAGGCTTGCTGGGAATCCCTAACTGAAAACCATTGATTTATATGCAATTTTCAGCAAGCCTTTCGCGTTCGTATTCGACTTTACCGCTTTGGTCGGGAACAATTACCTTAATTGAAATAGCTGTATATCACTTTGAAATGTTCCCGTTATCAATTTACGATGATTTGTAAATACTCTTTTTTCAAGATTTCATGAGCGCAAAGTCATTGATGAGTGAATTTATGTCAAGCTCACGAAGAATGTCTTGTTCAGCACTTAGTAATATCAGGTCGTTCAACCGTCTCTGACCCATGGTGGATCTGTACGAGTTCTTTATGTAACGCAATATTGAAAAAGATGTTTCGCCAGAGCAATTCGATATCATAAGAGAAAGATAAATACGAAGTGCGACTTCTATATTTGAAAATACTGTTTCTAGTTTGTTTTCTAATATGAGCTTGTACATCCGAACCTCCGGTGATTCTAGTTTCATTGCATCATTGTTTTCGAATTCCATGGTTTGATCATGCTCATGCAGCTCATTGTCATCATTGAATGACATATCTTCATCATCACTTGGAGTTGTAGTAACTGGTGAAGGTGGCGCTGAAGAATCCTCAGATGGTGCGGGCGAGGAAGGGATTTCAGAGAGGACTGGTGCTTCTACAGAGCTTGACGAATCCAAGTATCTCTCGGCAAGCTCAGTTTTCAGGAAGGCAGAGAACTGTAATAGCTCGTCTGAAAGACTCGGCTCAAGGTCACCTGGGTAAATTTTACAAAGCTGATTTGCACTCCGTGTCGGTTTGTTGTCAGGTAGCTCCTACATAGTTCTCAAAAATCCAAACCTTGACGCAACAGTGGCGTATGCTTCCTTACGTTTCTTCAACTCAGCAACCAAATTATCAATAATAACCAAAAACGTTGCCGTTCAAAACTTATCGGCAGGTGTAAGTTCTACTTCCGGAGCTGATCCTGGTTCATCATAACTACGATTCCGCTGGCGATTTCGTTTCATTTCGTCTTCGTAATGTTCGCATCCACTGAGCAATTTTCCTTCAGCCTCCAACTGCTCAAATTTTGGTCTCATATTTTTTACGTACTCTTCCAGGGATTCATAAATAGCAGCAGCCGAGTTAATGTCTTGATCCGCGGATTGAAGCAATTGGCTGTTACTGTTAAAACGCTTCAAGACATGGTGGCATACCAGAGTAAGTATACCAGTCTCCAAATGATCCATATTAGAAGCGTGATTAAGAGCTTCTTTTCGAGTGTCTCCCTTCTGCTCTGCATCTGCAGCAATCTCTTTCAATCCAGCTTTGATTTCTTCGTAGCCCTTGACCACGTCTTTAACAGCGGCGGCATGCGCTGACCAACGAGTGTCTGACAGACGTTTGACTGTGGGCAAGCCTTTTTTCTTCAGCTGATTATGGACCACTTTCCAACGGTGTGTTGAAGCGACGAGGAAAGAACATAAACCTTGGACAAAGCCAAAAAATCCGACAGATTCCAGACAGCAACTTACTGCTGATTGGCAGACTAAATTGAGATAATGTGCGGCGCAAGGCACATACTCGGCAAGTGGGCACTTTCGGTGAATAACAGCTTGCATACCGTTATATTTTCCACTCATGTTGCTGGCATTATCATATGATTGGCCCGGACAATCAGAAATGTTCACTTCATGTCTTGTTAAAAAGCCAAGTAAACTTTCCGCCAACACTTTCCCAGTATGGCCCTGCATATCTAGGAAAGCCACAAAGCGTTCCACAGGACCCAATGGCAGAATGTACCGGACAATGCAAGTGAGTTGGTCAACATGAGAGATATCTGGTGTGGAATCAACCGAAACAGAGAAATACTTGGATGCTTTCAGTTCGTCTAAAATATTTTGAAGAACTCGCTTGGCCATTAAATGGATGAACTCCTCGCAAACCGCATTGGAAAGATATGATGTATGTCCTTGGCCCTTGTTAGCTTTCTGATTGATATGCTGAGCCATAAATGGATCGATTTTGGCCAGTAGCTCCAGTGTGCCAAGGAAGTTACTGTTGTCGACGGAACCAATTATCTCATTTGTACCACAAAAAGCTAAGCCTCGCACTGCAAGGTGGCGGATAGTCTCTGCTACACGCTCTAAAACAGAACGCCAATAATCACGTTCTTCCTGTTCTTGCCGAACCAATGCTTTTTTCATGGCGTGAAATTGCTTGGGTAGCACGTTTCCAATCTTTGCATCCCAGTTTTCCAAACAATTCAACGTCTGTCATCAGTTTACATGGGAAGCAGATGGCTAGCATAGACTGTGAAAAACAAAGCCAGTTACGCGGATACTGCTGTTTTGTACACAAGTGTGCGAACGTGAATAAACTTTTCTGGCATTGTCGATTATACTTCTCTCCTTCAAATCTTGTAGACGTTGCACTGAAGTCGGCATCCAGATTCTGGCATTCACTACTTCCTTTAGCTATCCAGTATTCTCTCATATTTTTAGAAACAAGGGTAGGCCACAAGCCCAAATCAGGTAAGTATGAAGGACTGTTAAGGTTGGTTGTACCAATATGGTCATCGTCGCAAACCGATTTACATTCAGCTGCAACTTCAGCAGTAGTATCGACATAATGTGTGTTTTGTTCCAATTCCTTAAAGATTTCAGGATTCAAATTATCTGCCAAATGAGTACCGCCGACAATGTCAACTGTCTCGAGAACCGCACTGTTACTTGTTTTAGTAGAAAACATTTCAGAAATTTTTGGCATTTTAGACAGAAGTTTCTTTTCCCTTGCTGCTCGCTCTTCTTTTTCGCCTTACGTTTTCCTGAGCCTGACTGATATTTACGTCCCTTGTCGCGATCTCGGCCCCCTCCGCCACCAGCAGAATTCATTTTATGCGGAGTTTACCAATTGATATCAGTTTACGCACAAAACATTCAATAGTAGATATGCATGACTGGCTCCTCAATCGCTTTTATGCTGAACGGAAGTTATTTTTAGAAAATTACGTGATTCATAAATGATGTAATGCTGTAAAGTTAGTGCGCAATGTTTACGCATGGTTGCGCAAGCATGACGCAAACGTGACTATGCATTTTCTCAGTAAAATGTTCTGGAACGTTCTATGTAACATATTGATTAAGTAGGTTTAACTTGTGACGGAACTCGGAAGTATCAACACAATAGCAGATTATAGTACAATTATCAAGCATAAACCCACATACAACGGACTAACTTTCTATGTACGGCGGTTTTACTGCATGTACACCCAATTAAGTGCTACAATGTCGGCGGAGTTAATTAAGTGGTTTACAATATATTTGTAAAGCTATATTCGTAAGGGGCAGACCATTAGAAATCCCGGGAGGGGGGGAGGGGGTAAAAATTCCCCCCAAAAAATTTGTGCCGCAAAAACTTTATACCCCCCTCCCTGGATTTCTAATGGTCCGCCCCTAAGTACTGTCCTCAAATACATCAAAGCTCTGCTGCTAACTAATTTATCCAGTGATGGATCTAGTGGCATTTGGCAAGTACATTAAAGGGCGCCACGCCACCTAAGAGTAAGGGGCCCTGCTAGGCTAAAAATATAAATAATAATAATATAGCATCATATACTTTTAGCCTATAAATCGCGAGGCCCTGGAAGGCGTGGGGCCCGTGGCATATGCCGCATCTGCCACTGTGTAAAATTGGCGCTGACTTCATTAAAATGTCTGGTGTTTCCTTAGAAACTATGTCTGGTGGTTCCCTACAACTTACGTCTGCTGGATCCTTACAAACTACAACAGAAAGAAAAATCACAAACTACCATACTGTGGTTCCTTACTAACTACGTCTGGTGGCTTCTTACAAACTATGTGTGGTGGATCCTTACAAACTACATCTGGTGGTTCATTACAAACTATGTCTGGTGGTTAATTATAAACATCTGGTGGTTCATTACAAACGTACGGTGGATCCTTGCAAACGTCTGGTGGTTCCTTACAAGCTACATGTGGTGGTTCATTACAAACATCTGGTGGTTCATTACAAACGTATGGTGGATCCTTGCAAAGGTCTGGTGGTTCCTTACAAGCTACATGTGGTGGATCCTTGCAAATGTCTGGTGGTTCCTTACAAACTACCTCTGGTGGATCCTTATGAAATACATCTGGTGGATCCTTAGAAACTACGTCCGAAACTACTAGGGCATGTGGAAGTATTCTAGCTGGCAAGAGTTGCTATCAATTTTCAACTAAAACCTTTAATGATTTCATTAACTTACTAATGGTTTAAAATTAATATTAATAAACATTAATAATTCATGAAGAAAACACAAAGAAAAATAGGTACGCCGTGCGTACATGTTGCAAGCCCTGTGAGTGCTGGAGGCTTGAGAACTATGTTGGTGGTCTGGTGAGAAAACACAATGAATATTTTTGTTTTAAATTGTATCACACAATAAAAATTGATGAGCTAAAAGCAGAAATAAAGCTATATCTTTTTTACGATGTCGACCTTAGATTAGAGATGCAAACTATAACTGCCATTACTGCGTAAGAGAAGCCCATATTGCTTTGTGATCACTGAAGTAGGTCTCGAGAATACCTGCATGAATTTCTTCCTCAATTATGTTTGTATATAAATGGTCGATTACTGTTCGGTTATCTGTCGTAAATCCGGATATCAATTGTCGGTAGTTGTTTTCTCTAATCATTAGATTATAAAGCGATTGTCGGCCAGATTCCACTGCCCAGTTTACATTGAAATCTCCAATAATTACATTTTGTGAAGAGGAGTTTCGATCAAGAATATTACGAAGAGCAGAAATTAGGCGTGATGTAGCAATCTGGGGAGAGCGATATAGTGCGATCACAGTCAAATCTGGATGTCGTTCAGTTTTAATAATTGTAAACTCAATTCCATCTATGTTGTGTGCAAAGGGATATCCTTCTCTTAAAGGCATTTGACTATATACAGCTGTTCCACCATATGGGCATGGACCAGAATAGTGTGAACTATCATTTTGAAATAGTCTGTAACCATTAACATTGTACATTTCATCAGGGTCTAAAGGGCTAAACCGTGTTTCAGTAAATATTAAGATGTCTGTAGATGAGTAGTTAATGTCTTTTCGAACATCTTCGATGTGCTTGTGGAGAGAACGTGCATTGAGGTAACAGATTTCAAATGGGAGTGATCCAACATATACAATGGAGTGAAACAAAGTTTCAATCTACGTTCCATTCTTAGCAGTTCCATTTCTTGAACAACTCTTTGATCAGCAGATATCTTATTCTCACAAAGGTCGGTGATATGTAATCCTTCAATTGTGGTAACACGACTTAACGCGACATAATGTAGATGGGGAATAGCCCTGTTAGTATTTAGATTTACCACTATTTGTGATTGCGTATCGCCTTGTGATCTGTGTACAGTTTTGGCTGATGCCGGTCGCAAAGGAAATTGTTTTCTTACAACTTGAGCTGATTTACTTCTGCCCACTGTAAATTGTGTTGTAACAGGTTTAATAGGTGTCCATGTAGCTTGAATGCCTCTAATATAGAGATTTCTGTTTTCGTGTCGGGCCTTCTTGCCAACATCTTTGCAGTCAAACTGAACCCAAACAAGACCAGATGGTTTGTTATCATCAGTCAACTGTATTAATTTTACCACGTTACTTGCACCATTTGTAAGGCCATCGTCAGTTCGCACATTTGTTGCAATTTCCGTTCGTAGCCCGACAGCAAGCTTTAATTTATGAGCTAACTGCTTGGAATTTCTTAAAGGAACATAAGGTATTTGCATCATTATCTTTCTTTTGAGCTCAGCAGAACATGCTCCAATCACACTATCTTGCGCTTTAATCACATATTTATCACCACTAAATGATTCACACACTTTTTCGTTGTAGCTATCAACTAGAGCATTTTGAATAAACAAACGTGGAGCTTCTCTAGGACAATTAAGTTCTTCAACACATCTCTCCTTCAGTTTTTGGATGTCACTGGAAGCATGTTTACCTTCTCTTAATCTATTTAAGATCTCAGCAAACTCTTTGCTCTCTCTTTGTCGCATGATTTCATCAAGCTCAAACATTCTGAAATATCTTCTCCATAAGTTTGGAGCAAGAATATTGTAAGAATTCAAACACTGAACATCAGTAAATATGTAACCATCCATGACAGGTTTTAGTTGAAATAAGTCACCAATTGTAATCTCAGGTACATTAATGCCTGGGTCTCTGTTTGTGTATTTAGTGAAAATAAACAAAAAATCATAAAAAAAATAAGTATGGCCTTGATTATTACCATTCAAGTTTTATATGATTTATCAAAGGAGATTCTAAAAGTTGACCTACTTTTCATTGTCATGGCAACGATCACATGATGTATATTTCGAAAAACAACACAAAAAATGATACTTTTTATTCAGAGGCTCTGCAGCAGTATATTTTGTGACTGAGAGGACGCAGAATTGCGATAATCATTCACACATAATATCGCTGTTTATTGAATAAATTCGGAAAGTTTACATTTAGGCTTCGTTTCATTATTTTATGCGGCTATATTACGATGATCGGCATCAAACGAATGTTAATCGCGTCATTAAATGTTATATACAAATAAATGTACGGTTTCCAAATTAACGCAGGAAACTTTGTTCCCTTGTTAATGTTTTTAGCTAACAAACATAGCAAAATTTCGTCAAATTACCCTGCTGCAAGTCGAACGCGTTTTTCGCGTGATGAATTTCACGCGCCATAATGAAACAGTCTGCCGCTTATTGTAAGGGATATTGTATTTCCAATAACAACATTCATTGCGCATTCAAGCCGATATCTTGAAGCATAGTTAATGCTTGAAGGGAAGTATGCCATGGTGGAAAAGACCGAGTGAACTATATGTGCTATTAATTTGTAATTCACAAGCTACTTTTCATTGAAAATAAGAAACAGTCAACAATTAATACTGAATAATCACAAGATAGCGCACTATAAGAAGCTTTTATTTATCAGCAGTTCAAAGGTCAGCTGTCGCAAATGATACAATACTTATTGCTATACAAAGAGCCAATTATTACATCAAAACTGAATAGTATACCGACTTCTTTGCATTGTATATACCAAAATAATCCTGTCGCTCATATATACTATAGTTTGATTTGAAGCAAACGCCCGAATTCACTAAAATACTCACACAACGGGCGAATATTCTAACAGACGCATTACTGACAGATCGCGCGTGCAACACTCGCGCAAGATATTATCCAAGCGTGGGCAGACCCAGGCATTAACATGCCTGAGATGATGCTAATACCACCAAAGTCGTCTTTGCTTCCTTTTAAATCCTTTAAATGATTATTTAACTGAATTGTAAACATACTGTTTCCAACCATGAATATTTCGTCAAGTAATATTAACTTCAATGCACCCAGTGCGCATCTTAGTGTGTTTAGCCTACCGGAATCAAGTAATTTATATTTCTTAAGTGACTGGCTTGCTGGAATTGCTAAGGCACTGTGAATTGTGTTACCTTTAATAAGATAAGATGCTTTCCCTGTGGGAGCAAGTAATAATATATGAACACGACGAAAATCGTCATCAGCTCTCGCATTGTAGTATTTCAATGCAGCTTGATAAATTGATTTAATACGGTGAGATTTACCAACACCTCCACTTCCACTCAAAAAGGCATAAAATGGTTTATCAGACGTTTTAATTAAATGCAAAGCATGGTAAAAAAATTCTCTGTTTTTTATTAAGCATTTGGGCCAATCCATGATATTCATCATCTTGCATTTCATTTAAAATGAGTGGTTCACTATTCAGGAAGGATGATGGTATACCTAAATCCTCAGAAAGATCATAAGTTTCATTCAAATCTGGATGTGTGTCTGTGTTACCTTCATCCTCATCTTGACATTCAGTATCTTGTGTAACTGGTGCTATTGTGTCAAACACATCATCATCACATTCTTGTAAGTGATGTTGAATTTCATTTAAGTCTTCACTACAGACTGCATATTGTCTCATCTGCTCGCCTATCTCGTCATACCGAGCTATATAGTGTTCTTGAAAAGAAGAATAGTTTTGCATTAAATCAGTTTGCTCATTTCGCCATGGGGTAAACAGCATTATCAACTCTCGATAATGTTTTTCTGGTTGAGCTTCTTTATTGAACCAAACACTTCGGATGATTCTAGCTTGGGATCTCTTTTTAATCGAGTTTATAGTAGAAACACAAGTTTCAGTGTTTTCATCATGAAACTCATCTTCGTTATTTCCATCTACATCTTCCAACGGAAGATTGTCGACATCAGCCTTTTTGTGTGTTTTCTTGTATTTGTTCTGTCCACAAGAATCATACCATGCTGCCCAATCAGCTAAAGTAGTGTTTTGCAAACAATCGGGTCGCTCAGTGTATCGTTTCAGTAGACCACCAGAATGAATTTCCTCAGAGTCATCTGACATTTTCTCAATTTCACTCGGTGGTTTTAGTAATTCAACCCGGTCATGTGGGGGAGATGTGTTTATGAACACCACATTTCGCATTGGAAGTTGTAAAATAATATACACCGCCTCTTGTGCGCTTATTTCTACCGAGTTTAAAAACTTATTTCCGTTTAAAAACTTATATACAGCTGAGGGATGAACGGATAGCAAGCATGTATTCATGTTCTGAAACATCTAACTCTTGTAGCTGTTGGTCAAATGTTATGTCTTTACCTTCTTTTAGGTCATTTAGTTTAGTTTTAATGTCTTTCCACAAGTCTTTCCTGTTTCTTGTGGCAGTCTGAGATGTATCATCATCAAGTGGATAGAGTATCTGTGTAGATCTGATGGGTGGTTGGGGGTAGTTGAATCTACAAACATTTTTTGATTTTTTTCGGCATGTGTGAGAATGTCTGTGAGTTTGTCGGTTTACAAGTTCGAGTAATTCCGAGTTGTTATCTGGTCTACTACAAGTTATTATTCGGTCAATGAATGCAACTACATCTTCATCGACACCAAATACAGGTGCGTTTTCAAGCCATATCAGCATGTGTATATGAGGTGAGCCTCACTGTTGGTATTCAACCCTGTAAAACCAATCTTTTATTTTTCCTAAAGGAGATATTTGACTCATTAAGAAATCTTTCAAGAAAGTATTGAAATGGTAGTCAAAATGTCTGGCACATGTTACTGGGTCACTTTGAATTAATCTACACTTCTCATCCCAAGTAAGGTTGTCTAATTGTTCATCACTGTAGTCTTTGTGATCAACAAGTTTACCAAGGATTCTTAATAAATGGTTCCATTTTGTCTCTGCAGATGAAAAACTGCAAAACAGAGAGGCTGGTCCTAGTTGGCAAATCATGGCAAACAAGTCTTTTTTAGCTTTTTCAAAGTAAGGAGGTGAACCTCTTAATGCTCTTAAAAATTTGTATCCATCATGGCAAATCAAACTTTCTAAACCTTCAGGTGTTTTCAACTGTCCTGCAGTAAGTGTTCTTCTATTCCCTAATGGACCTTTCCCCTTATAACTAAAATTTCGATCTAGACAAAAATTTCATCACAGGTTGAAAGAGCATCACAAAATTAGTAATATTCCAAAATTTTGTTGCAAAATCTTCTAAAATGCGGATAATATAGCCTTGCGAAGTTTGCCGTTTTTCAGTCATTTTGTATTACAAACGGGAAATTGACATCCGATTCGGGTGTTGGGGCTGCAATTTCCCGTTTGTAATGCAAAATGACTGAAAATTGCAAACTTCGCAAGGCTATATTATCCGCATTTTACAACATTTCGGAACGAAACTTTGGAATATTACTAATTTTGTGATGCTCTTTCAAGCTGTGATGAAATATTTGTCTAGACTTGCCTAGATCAAAATTTTGGTTATAAGGGGAAAGGTCTATTTGCACTTTCACAAAGCAATTTGTGATTGTCCTAGCAATAATTTCATCTGTAATTTTTTGGCTTTGAAAAATATGTTTTCAATACACATTGCTGCACGTCGATCAGACAGTCTTAACTCCGATTTGCATATTTCACTATAATAAACACTTGCTAATCTTTGCTTATCATCAGGTCTTTTCTGACCCATGAATATTCCTGGGTAAGCCATTTCCTCTGAGAACTGATCTCTAAATAAACTAAGTGGTCTACTACCTTCCGCAGGTGCAACATTGTATATGTGTTGTCTTTCATTATCGTCTAAAAAATCTGGAGATGTTAACATACTGTCATTTCAGCTTCGTCTTCACTCCACTCATCTTCTGAAGTAACAGAATTAGTTTCATCAACTGAACTATTTGTGTTTTCGTTACTGCTGTTTTCGTTTCGTGGGTCACTATGTTTGAGCATGGTTGAAGGGAGTTAAGTGCAATCATAAGGGTGGGCCAGGTAAAAATATGCAGAAATATTTTCAAGGGCATGTGCATTAAAATTCATATTATAAAAATAGAAATACAAAGTATCGGGATCCATGTGTAAAATTTATAACCTCAAACTTAAAAGCTGAATTTACTGTCTTGGCTAATATGTTAGTAGTGGCTAACTAATTTTCTGATAATCATTATGCTTTATATCACGAGCTTTGTGTAGGATGTTTATTATGTAACATAATTAGTGTAATTTCTACAAGAGCGTAGTTAAATAACAATCATTGTTAGCAGTTTGGGGTTAGCTGTAAATGTCAAACTAAAAGACTCTAATTACGAGAAAGATACTGCATAATGCAGTGTGCATGGGAAGTTCCATGCAAAGAAAGACATCTCTGTATTTAATCTAGGCCTCTTTTAACATATAGACTGGGGAGGACTTGTCTCCCCAGCCCTCTTACTCTCCAGTTGGTGATTTTGTCCCCCAGTGAGGTCCCTAAGAACTACCTGCAGTAGATGGTCAACCAGCAATTATGTATCAAAGTGAGAAAACAATGTTAAGTTGTTAACATTTCTGAATTTGACCATCATCTGCAGACCTGTAACTGGCTATGAGTCAACAGAGTTAGTTGACTTGGTAGACCAAAATTTGGGGACTGAAATTTAAACATCGCCAGGAACCTAAACCAAGACTGAAATAATTTGGCCATGGAACAAGGCATGAAATGGTATTTTATGATGATTTTCCAAGCAAAGATACTCCAAAGAGACCACCCTATCCCTATCTGGATCTTGCTCTTCAGTGACACTGAGAAGACCAATGCGTCGATTTAAAGTATGCCATTGCATGTAATACAGTATGAATATAGTGGTATTAATGTTGTGGCAAAGAACTTCTGCCACAAACTCTGCCATTAAATTGAGCTATCACAACATCAATATACCCCTCGCTATCCATTCCAAACCCTCAATAACATTTTCATCCGATGTTTCCACTTTCATCAGGGACACATTCCTAGAACACTTACACACCTACAGCACTGTTAAAAACTAACTCAATCTACCATCCTGAGCAGCAATCCAGACCTAACTCAATCCCCACCGGAATTTTAATCCCAAACCACATTCCAAACCCCTCAACAACTAAGCCACCCTAATCCCATCTCAACCCCTCATATCTCAATCCCCAACATAATTTCAAAACCCCTCGCCCACTAAGAATTCCTTTTCGCCTTGCCTACACACAAAGTACGCTCCACGACATCTATCAGTAAGTAAATTTCATTTTTTACATTCCGTAACCATAAATTACCACATTACGCATGCGATTCATATCATTTTCACCAATTACAAAGAACACATACCAAATTCAACCAATTTTCACACTGTTCCTAGACAAAATAGATCAACAGATTTTTTCATGGAAACACATGTCACACATGTATAATTCATATAAATGGGAACAGAAATGAATATTTATATGCGGGCATGTAGTTCCAAAACCAGCTAGTGGGGTTGAAACGTGCTTTCCCTGTTATGCTTGGAGCCTGATGAGAACATAACCTTGGTTTTTGAACACAAAACGCATGAGACTTGACCTGGGTGGTGATACACTGGCATTAACCCAGGTCTTGGCAATATCACATTACATCACATTAACGCACCTGGGTTATGCCTGCACGATCATCACAAGAACAATCAATCAAGTCATACACAACACAGTTTTACTATTCATGTATCAATTTAGTTTAAATGTTCCAACTTTTGTATCACTTATACCATTTTACAATTTATATGTATTTTTATGTATCATCACTGTTTGTCTACATTATAAATAGAGCTTCACCAACATCATCACAGTCCATGCATCATCATAACGCAACTCACTAGAATCATCAGTATCCACACCATTCCATCTCTATCAGTCACATTGAATCGAAATTTAATTTCACTCCACACACCATTTGATGTTCACCCAATAATATGTCCCAACAGGTCAGCAGGGCCATTTCACAGCATTCCAGGATCTGAATACCTGCAACCACCTTTTTAATCCAATTCCAAAAGAAAAACAAACACAAATTTGCTATGTACTTGCAGGAAAAAGTTAAGCATCAAGAGATCTCCTGGTTAATTAATTGGTTAATTAATTGGTTAATTAATAAACAAATAAATAATGGCCACATGGGCTGAACAATGAATTGAATAATAAACTTATTAACAGATTCATAACCAGTTTTCCATATCAACTAACTTGCCCTACATCCAACCTCACAAAAACATGTACGAGGTTCATGTCCATGTATAACAATGCAACACATTCACCCATAATACAACCCAAATTCATTTATCAGGATATTAGAAGACATCCATCCAAGTAAATTGAAAAATGGATGCTGAACACAGTCAGATTGGGTTTGAAATAGAGGCGCTACAAAGTTTACTCATCATATCAGACCCAGATTTTGAAAACAATCTATTCACCAGAACACCATCAAACTCACCATCCACCATATTGACCAACCCAATTTCAATTCTCCCACAATCCACCACACCTGTTAATCCACCAACCAGCACGTCACAGAGTCCCAACACCATAGACACGTCACAGAGTCCCAACACCAGAGACACAACCCCAACCTCCACCCAGACCCAACCCAGTACCCTAATCGTGTCTCCAACCGCCATCCCAATCCACACCCAAAAACACCTTCACCCTAACATCCCCAACTACATCCCAAGCAATCACACCACAAAATCCACAAACACACCAAACCACCAACATATCCCAAGCACCTATCACTCCCACCAACACACACCACACAACCACCATATTCAATAAACCATACACCATATCCAATGACCATCAATGACAATTGACCATCCTCAACAAGCACATAACAAACCACACAGCACCAGCTGGCCTTAACATCAGTGTACAACCCTGGGTCCAGTTGTCACCGAAGCTCAAGGAAGCATGGAACACTGACATTTGGGACTGCATGTCCAACCTCACAAACATCCTGCACTAACACCACTCGGAGGAATCATCAAAAATTGATGCACAAATCTCATCACTCTCCACAGACCTAAACGACAATCTCCCACAGGGGTTATCGAGCACACTTATCCACATCGCAAGCACCCACAAACCACCCTCGAAATGCAAAATAACACCCAAACCAAACACCAACCAAAACGCCCAAAAACCACAGCAACCAGGAAACCTGAAAAGCCAGAAAAGGCCACATCACCACTAACACAGGGGACCATCACCTGCCACACCCAAACCACCACTACGGATACCACCTCCACCCAGCAACAACACACCACCACGCCCACCAATAACCACAATTTCATCTCTAGCAAGCATCATGCACTCCTCCATCAAGCAACAACTGAAGGGGAAACAAACAGTTCCCCACAATTTACAACATGTTCATGAAAGGAAAGCAATAAAATCTTTCCCCCATGGACAACCACACAGAAGAGCCCACGAAAAACCCCATGACAAGAAACATCGTCGTCAACAAATCCAAACTCACACCAATAACAACCTCATAGTAAATCTCACCAACCATGAACCAACACCACCACTGAAAAGCATCCTTTCCAAGGGCCTCAAATTTGTTCCCACACCAATCAATACCCACCTACAAACGATTGTCGACTCATTCAAACGCTTCAGAAGATCCATGTACATACATTACCACTTCAGACATTTTCCCAATGACCATCCCAACCCTTTTAAAACCCAAAGTACATGGTCACCACCCCTTCCAGACAATCCAAATTTACTTTCATACATTGCTTCTGTGGCAGAATCCATTCAACGGGTCTTCAAGCACAACTCATATAATCAGCCAAATTCCAACTTAAATGAAAACGAAATGTCATTCCTTACAAATTACAACATTCATAATCAAGAATATGTCATTAAACCAGCAGATAAGGGAGGTGCCATCATCATATGGTCAACGACTGATTATGAAAAGGAGGCACTCTCTCAACTCAATGACAACAAATATTATGAAAAAATACAGGCCCAGCCAGACATGATGATCACAGCACAAACCAACACAATCAGCAAATATATCAAGGATCTCTTCAAATTTGGAGACATTGGTTCCAAAACACTCAAATACCTATTACCACCCTCACCACCATGCATACCCATCTTTTACCTCTTACCAAAAATACACAAGCCCAATAACCCAGGGTGACCAATCACATCAGGATGCAATTCACCCACGGACAGGCACTCCTCATTCATTGACACACACCTCAAACCATTATGCAGTTCACCTCCCTCCTACATCAAGGACACCAATCATTTTCTGCAAACCATATTCAACATCACCACACCATTACCACCCAACACCATTCTTGCCACAATTGATGTCAAGTCACTCTACACCAACATTCCACATGATGAAGGGATTCGTGCAACGCTTGAAACACTGGACACCAAACATGGGCACATGTGGCCACTCTGCAAAGTAATACATCAATTCCTGATACACATCCTAAAAGAAAACTATTTCACATTCAATAATCAACTCTACTTACAAAAACATGGCACTGCCATGGGCACCAAAATCGAACCATCATTTGCAAACATCTTCATGGGTACATTAGAGGAATCACTTCGGTCATCTCCACCAGATCACCTCATACCCCTCCTATGGAAAAGATTCATTGATGATATATTTTTTATCTGGACACATGGAGAGGAATCATTAAACATCTCAACTCAGCACACCCCACTATCAAATTTGAAATCTCGTACTCCACCGAGAGTGTCAACTTCCTTGACACCACAGTTTATGTCACTCTACAAAAAACACTTGCCACCCCTCTCTACATTAAACCCACAGACCGCATGCCAACTCCTACATCAATCATCACATCATCCAGAAACATGCAAAAAAGGCTTAATATACACATAGTCAAATTTTGAGATACAGGAGGACAATCACCAGTGACAAAGAATTCCAAGAAAAGGCACAAAACCTCCGGGTTGCACTCATTGGAAGAGGATATAAAGATAACGATATTCTCCCTCACATCAAGAAAGCCTCATCATACACCCAGTCACAATTACTCATAAACACCACATCCAAAAACAACACACAAACATTACCATTCATCATTCCGTACAATCCAGATCTCACACCACTCTCACACATTCTCACACAACACTGGCATTATATTGAAAACGATCCTGTTTTATCACGGGTATGGCCAGAACCAGTCATAGCCTACCAACGTCACAAAAATCTCAAAGAATACTTCGTCCGCACCAAATTCACTCACATTGTCTCACCAACATCACATGCCAAAATAAACACAACAACCCCCCCCTCAACCCCCCTCCAAAGATACCCACCAATGGATGTATCAAACAAACAAGGATCAACAATATGGAGATCTACACAATAAACCGAGATCCCCAGCTCCATCCAAGACTGGGAAATCAACTCAAATCACATCTGCAGAATCCAGTTGAAATGAACAAGACAAG